TTAATGTTACCATGACCCTTTCATTGACTTCCATGAAGAGGTCTCCACTGTGAGGGAGAATGACTGTGTGCAGACCGACTATAGGACACAAAGGTGTCCTGAGAAGTGCAGGTGACCCCCAGAGCAAGTGGTCTATGAGACAGTTCAGGTGACCCACAGTCTCAGGGCAGTCTTGAACAGGCTTCCAAAGCAAGTCTGACATGCAGAGATCAGCACAATCCTGGACCTTCCCGCTCACAGCCTGAGCAGCGCTGGCCACAGAGGTCTTCTTGGCCGTTAGCTTCCAGCTCATAAAAGTGTGTTTGGTGGGACCCAGACTGCACCTCACTTTAATATGGAGAACACGGTGGGAATTTTATGAGAATGGAAAAATGAGACCTTTTGAAACTATTCTAGGAATGGTGGAGAGGGGATAAAGGGGAATGACGGAGGGGACAAACGCAACTAAGACATACGGTGCAAACTGTGGAAAATGTCACGGTGTACCCCAGTACAACAATGCCAAAAAATAATAAAAAGATTGTGGAAACTTTAAAATAGTGAGAGCTTGGCGATATTGACTAAAAAACTTTGCATCTTAGTTTCCTTAAGAATAAAGTAACGGTTCTCATGTTCGTGGGGAGTAGGGACACGTAGCGTGCTTTCTAAGGAGTCAAGTACACATTATGTGATTGATCTGACACAACATTCGGTATAACCTCCTGTCTTTGCCTCCAAGTAGCTGAGATTACAGGCATGCGCCACCACACCCAGCCCAGCTCAGTTGCCTCAGTTTCCCCACCTGTCTTCTTTCCGGGCTGTGACTGTTCCAATGTTTCTGTGCAACACTCCATTCAAATTTTTAACCTCTTACCACATCTGTGTTTTCCCACAGATGGCATTGATTTGCCTGTGTGTTTAGATTTGTGTGGAATGTCATTATACCTTCATTCTGCAAACTCCCTTTTGAATTTGTTCTTGGTGCACATGGGTGCATCTATTTCATACTGAAAATTCTTATATGAAGACTCACGTGTTTCTCACCATTCTGGCTTGGATTAAGACCACAAGGATAATTTGTATTATCCTTCAACGGTGCCAATTTATTTATTTCAGTAAACTTTATTTCTAGTCAGTAACTCTGATTTCTAGTGACTGAGTGAGAATTTCTACATTTTCTCAGAATTAGTGTTCAACCCACATGTGGAGTGTTCTTGTTGAGGTTTTGAGAAGTGACTGACCTTTAGCTGCCCCTCAGCCTTTCATGATGACGGTGTCAGGGCCGGGCTGAGCGGAGAGGGCCGAGGAGAAGACGGAGCTCAGAGCCTCTGTCTCATCATGGACCTTTGGATCTGTCTCTTCCTCTGGTGGTGCAGACAAGGCCAGGCCAGAGAAAATGCCCACTGCCCTGTTCCATTCACTCCATGAGACAGCTCTGGGTGAGGGTCAGGAGGTCAGCCCAGACTTGGGGTTCTCCCCTGTGTGGGGAGCCCAACAAAAGCTCCTGCTGATTTGTGGACCCAGGGGCCAGGGGAGGGATGATGGAGTGAGAAGAGCCAAGAGAGGAAAGTATTGAGTGGGCAGTGAGTCCCTCAGGATTTTGACTGCAGGACCTCGTAAGTTGGTGAAGGCAGAGACCTCAGAGCAAGACCTGGGCAGAGGACCAGAGGGTTTAGGATCACAGGCCCCTGAGTTCCAGCCCTGGGACCAAGGATGCTACAAGGATAGGCTCCCAGCCAGCCCCTTCAAGACCTGGATGCGCTGTCTGGATACTGTACCACATCTGGCACAGGGAGGGCAGTGTCCAGGACACCTGCCAGGTACAGCCCAATAACTGCTCATGGTCACACCTGAGAAAACCACCAGTAGCACGTGGTCAGGACCCTCACCCCAGCTCCTCAGGAAGGCATAGGACCATTTTCTATTTCTAGATCTGAGGTGTTCTGATAAACTGTAGAAATCTTGAGTTTAAAATCCTTCTAATGTAGATTCTAGTCCGTTTCCAAACTGAGCGAGTGTGCACAGGAGTTTTCAAATTATTCTGATCAGCTTGGAACCATGTCTTCAATGAGAAATAGTTTCTTTACTTCAAGGGATAAACTCAGAACGTTCTTCATATTTAAAAAGTTTTACCAGATGGGATTGCTTCTAAAAGGTGCAGAAAGAAATAGTGAATTTATTCTAAGAGAAACCTTATAGTATTTTCTAGTAGAAGCAATATCAAATTTTGTGGAATAATGAAAAATTGCCTCGTGATTGAACACTCCATGGTGTGACAGGGTTCCCTCACAACCTGCAGTTTTGTTTCCCGCTTATGTATGTCATCATCCTCCAATTGTTACAAGTCTTGCTTTGAAGATGGAAGTTCTTCTGTGTCCTAATGTTAAACACCATTGAGAGCCTCGACAATTGCAGTGTTTATCGTAAGACAAAAGACGTGGTCAGGCAGAGCCCTCTCTCCAACTTGAAAAACTACATTTCCTTGGTGCTTTAATGAGGCCATTTTAAAAGAGCGTGTTTCTGTAGAGGAGACGGGACACCTTGATATTTGGTGGACTTCATGATTCACTGTACTCTCCCATGGTGATCCAATGACTTCTGTGTGTCCTGCTTGAGCTGCTGTAAGAAAATGCCTCCGATGGGGCAGCTTAAGGAACAGATGTGCCCCTCACGGTTCTGGAGGCTGAGCACCCATAATTAAGGAACACACAGTTTCTATTACTGAGGCAGAAACCAACTTGTTTCTTCTCACAATATTTCTTTGATATAAACCATCTTGCTCCCAGAGAGCTCGAACGATTATAGGAACAGCTGAATCAGAAAAACCCTAGTAAGTATTTTCCAAAGTCCCACAGGGTGGAGTTGGCTGGCAATGAGGTGCTGGGGTTCTTTCTCATGTTAAGAAAAGTTGTCTTAGAAGCACGATGCCAGTGATCCCACAACTAAAGGAAAGGCCATCAGCTGATCCTCCTCTCCCTGTCCCTGGTGGACCTGGAATGTAGTAGGAATTTAGTGTGCATTGAAGGAAGGAAGGAGTGAATGAGTGAATCCAGACCTTATTTACTTGGAATGTCACATATCTGCACTTTAGGAGAAAAATGACAGTGTGTGTCACACAAGAGTATTTCTCTCTTTGTTCCCAATAGGTGGTTTCCTGGGACACTGTGTCCCTACAAGGGGATTTATTTTCTCAACTTTGTTGAGATATAAATGACAAATTAAATTGTATATATTTAAGCTGTATAATGTGATGATTTAATGTATATACACGTTGTAAAATGATAACCACAATCAAGCTGGTTAATACACACATCATTTCATATAGTCCCATTGTGTGTGTGGTGTGTGGACATCCAAGAACTGCCTTCTTAGGAAATGTTAAGTATCCAGTGTGGTAATGTTTGCTTTCATCACCATGCTATGCATTGGAGCCCCAGAACACATCCAGCTTACTCCCCAAGCCTGATGCCTCAGACCACAGCCACCATGTCTCCTACTCTCTGATCTTACAGGATCAGTTTCCACATATAAGGGAGGCTGTGTGGCATTTGTCATTCTGTGCCTGGCTTGTCTCATACAACATATTACCCCCAGGCTCATTTTTGTTGTCACAAATGGCAGGATCCCATGTTTTTAAGGCTGAATAGTATTCCATTGTGGGTATGCACCACATTTTCTTTATCCCTTCATTCTTGGCTGTTGCAAATAATGTTTAGATGTGTGTGGTTTAAGACACACACGTGTGTGCTGCCATCCCTCACGCAGTGTGGTGATACCGAGTGAGGAAGCCAGATGCACACGTCACAGCAGCGTGGCATTACAGGAGAGTGTCTCTGTGCTGGCCACAGGTCTGTCTCACTTGGAATGCAGCCCAAAGGAGGAAGCTCACAGTGGTGCCCTGGAGCTGAAGTGCCTGGACTGAGTCTTTTGCTGGTGTGTGATCACATACGGTTTCCTCAGTTCCAGGGGCTCCAGTTGCAGAAATAGTAACTCAGCATGTTCCCATAGACAACTGTAAAGCAACCATGCTGGCTCTCATTTTTGGCTTCTTTGTGCGGAGATTATAATGGACTCATCCCTAACAGTCTGGACAGGTTTTGTTCCTGCCCCTGGGCTGCTGTGCTGTGCGCTGTGTCCCATCTGTCATCCCTTGTCCGTCACTTGCCTCACTCCCCCGTCCTGGCTTTGCAAAGCACATCATAAATGCCTAGAGCTTCTTTGTTCACTTGAAAACCAATGCAAGCCACTATTTAGCCTGCAGTGTCTCTTGAGGTAAAAGATGCATTTGCCTCACCTGTTCGTCTGGGCCCAGCTGCCTTCCCGCTTTTCTGTTCATGCAGTGCTGGCCTGGCCCACGTTTGCTTGCAGCTGGATGATGGTTGCCCAGGCTGTGTAGACACTGCTCGGTGCACATGGGTGAGTTCATATGTAAGGTGTTTGGGCACTTTCCTTCCACTGTTGGTTAAGAGCACATTGTACGTTTAGCTTTTATCACCACCTACGTTTCAATACCATTGGCAGCTGTTGTCGGAGGACATGGACATTGATTGTTCTTGAATTAATACTGGTGACAGAAGCAGCCTCGGCACAGTTGAAGCAGGCAGAGACCTACGGTGAAGAAGAACCCAGTGCTAAGATTAATGGGAAGAGGCTGATTTTAAATGGGAGCTGAGCACAGGTCACAGGCTTACTATTTACCACCTTGGAAAATGAAGGCTGGTCATTTCCTTCTGGGGCTTTGTTCCTCACAGGCAAGAGGAGATGACAGCCACCGCAAGAGTTCTGCACAGTTTCCCATCCCACGTATAACACCTGCCTCATCTTACCACACCTTTGCTTCTTCCCTGTGTGTGATGCCAGAGGCTGAAGTTTAGAAATAATGTGTACACAATGCTGCTTTGGACGTATCTGTTAAGAATTACTCAAGTTTAAAGTAAGAAGTCGTATCTACACTTTGCATTCACTGTCTGAAAATGAATTGTAATCTGAATTCTTTTTTCCTAAACTTTTTTAAAGCACAGAACTGTTACACTTCGCAGACAGCCTGTGGGCGGCCTGGGCCTGAGTATCAAGGTATGAATGAATTCTGTTTCCGTCCTCTTCCTTTTCGAGAATGTCTCAGCCTCAGTCCTCACTCCTGATGGCTCTGTCTTCCAGGGAGGAGCTGAGCACAGCATTCCTGTCGTCATCTCCAAAATATTCAAAGACCAAGCAGGTAAGCACTGCCACGTGGCATGCGTGTGCAACACGACTGTGTGCAAGGTACAGATTACCCTAAGTGATAAACGGTAGCTTCATTATTTAAATGGCCATTTGAGTTTTGTAGCTGTGTATTAGTTCAAAGGACATTTTCTCAGCCCTGGTATGCGCTGCCTTTTCCATTTCTGCTGCTCCTTCAAGCCTTAAGAGAGAGACTAATTCCCTGTCTGATGTGCTGAGTTAACCCCCAAGGAACTGATGACTTGGGGTTTGAACACTGAGTTTCTTCAGATATGTTAAGATTTGAGGAGAAGTAGATACAGAACTCGGTGGTGTTCACTGAAGTCTCTGATATGGAAGTCTGTGAACAGCAGAGGTTGACAAACTTACCACAGACTCACAGCCCCCACTCAAGAGTGGACCCAGGTCCAACATCCTGGAGCCAGCATTACCTTAACCGCCACCCCAGTCTACCAGCAGCACTCACTCCTGGCTGAGAGGTTGGGACTTCCAGCCACATATCCCAGAGGTAAGCAGTTGGTTTTCTACCAACACAGGGGTTTCTGATGTAGTGACGTCACTTTGTTAGATGGCACGGGACCCTCGGCTGCTAGGAACTGCAGCTTTCCCTGGCCCCCTCATCTGCACCTGGTCCACCCTGACCCCTGCTTTGTCAGCCCAGCCCCTCCACCCAGCCCCCTGTGGGTTTTCAGTCAGGTGACTTACCCTGCAGACGGGGGTGGTGGGGATTAAAGACCATCCTAACTGAAGTTGAAGCCTGAACTGAAAAAGGAAGTAGATGGAGGGTCCTGTGGGGGCACCTGGAGGCAGAGCCAGCTCAGAGAGCTCCTGAAAGTCAAATTGGGATGCTGAGCAGGTGTGACCAGCCCAGCACTGACCCCCGACACAGGGCACTGTCTCCTCCTCCACTGGAAATATGCAGGTTTGAACTGAAGAGTGGTGAATAGGCTCCTGTTTCTTCTTAAAACTTTCTTACTTATTTCATCTGATTTTACCCAAACCATGAGAACTTGCAAATAGAGAGCACTGTCACTGCAATCAGCCATTACTGAGGACAGGAGGCCCTGGGTGACACCTTGAATGTCCAGCTTGGTGAAGGCTGAGTGCCAATGAGAGCTATCCTGCCCCACGACATAGTTACAGGAGACACACAGCCCTGGGATGCAGTGGTGGGTCCAGTGGGAGGGGAAGTTGCAGATGAGCTGTGGATCTCATGGATGCTTTGAACACATTCCTGGGAAAAAGAGATTTCCACAAAATGACGTGCCATGAAATTCAAATCTATGTGAAGATTTGTTTTCACCACAGGACATTTAGGAGTCAGTGCAGCAAAACACTTCTCCCCTTCTGAGCAAGGTTGCAAAACCTGCTTGCAGCAGACAAGATTATGTTTACTCAGGTCTCAAGGACCATGAACCATGTCCACCAGAGGCAGGAGGGGCTCTTGCTGAAGAGACCTGCACCATCATCATCTATAGGTCAGGAAAGAAAGCAGGGCAAGACACTCTGTAGTGTGCTTTTTCTGCAAACACCAAGGAATTTCATTTTATAAGAAAACACAGGTTCAGTTATAGCCACAGATAGCAGGAAATGGGAAAGGGCTATCAGATCTCAGAATCAGATGATCATTCTTTGAGAGGTTTTTCCAAGCATTTCAAAATGAGCATTGTGTTTACATCGAGCTAAAGCATTCCTGTTGTATATCACGCCTAATTGTGGAGCTGGCAAGCTTTCCAGAAGCTACGGGCAGCATGCACTTAAAGCAAAAACTCAACGAGCAAGAAATAGATCAATTCCCTTTTGCAATAGCTGTGTTCAATTATTGCAAGCCATCTGGTTAGCTGATTAATAATTGAAGGGGTAATTGCTCAAATGCATTTCTGAATCTATAAGTAATCTTTGTGAAGATCCTCAATTCTTTTTCATTAGCGTATTTGTTTGAATTTGTGGATATGAACATGTCTCAGAAAAAGAGAACAAGGCAGTAAGATTAACCCGCACACAAAAGCAGAAGATGTGGTGCTGAATTCAGAAGGAAAACCTGTTTGATCTATTGAATGGGACACGGGTCCAGTGGGCCATGCACAGGACAAGTTGAATGAGGAAATGGGACTGCAGTTTTCAGAAAATTATTCTGGGGGAGCCTGAACCACCCCCCCCATGTCTGGGCCACCATGGTTGGGTGGACGTGATCAGGGGACATGGGTTTCAGTGGATTCCAAACTGAGCTTTTGGGGAAGTGGGGACATAGAATACAATGCTATAGAAGGAGGCACACGAGCAACCCCAATCCTGTGAGACTCAAGGTGAAGGCTGCATGTCCTCCCATGACCTTCCAACCTTACCGTCTGTCACTCCTGTGAACATGGAGACCAAAATGCCTGCCTCTCAGCCCTGCTGCCCACCTCACCCTGCCCTTCATGGGTCCCTAGGTCCCCACCGTTCCTGCAGGACCTCTCAGTGTTGCTTCCAGGGCCAGTGCACTTGAAAAGCACCTTTCCTCTCCTTCTCTCTCTTCTCCATATATGCACCCACTTTACCAAAAATCCTTTGCAGTGTCTGCACAAAACGCCTAAAGGAAACATGGGCATTTAGCAATGGGGCTTGGTCTCACCTGTCTCCTCTCTTTCAGTGTGCAGAAAGGCTATTATTTTAGGTGAAGGAGGGTGGGCTTGCCTGTGTGAAGTGGATCCTAGAGAGAGTGTGGGACTCAGTGTGCCAGTTCCCAGCAAAATCCAGGAGCCCTGGAGAATGGGGTTTGATGCAGCAGGTACACACCCACTACCCAGAGTGAAAGCATCAAGCACAGAGCCACTGTCTGGGCAGGAAGGAGTGGGGCAGATGTTCCTCACCATTCCTTACCCCAGCCTTCCCTGTGAATGGCTGCACTCTCAGACAAAGAAGAACACTGAGGCTGTGCGTGAAGCAGGGAGCTTCTCTGGGGGGCAGGCTGAGCTTCCCAGCCTGCATTTAGGAATAAGGCAGATGTGACCTGTTAGATGAAAGCAGAATATAATTCCATTAGAGCTCTTGGGTTTGCCCAGCCTTATTCAACAAATGATCCAGGGGTGAACCACTGCCTTGGGCTTCCAGGGAGCAGGGCAGATGCTGGGCACCACAGAGCCCATAGACAGCTGGAGGGACAGGCAACAGGCACGTCCGAAACACACTCTCAGAGGACAGCCTCTGCTGGATTGGGTATGTTGGGGAATGGAGAGTGATAAAAGATTGCTGTTGTGTTTGACTTCATGAGTAAGAGGGTTCATTTGAAATCTTTGCAAAAGTAGAGCAGTAAGGTTCATTTTGCATTTTTAAAACACCATGTGGTTGTGGTAAGGAGAGGACACTTTAAAAAGTTTGGGAGAGACAGAATGCTTTCCCATATACAGAGGGACAGTGCCACACCGTCCAGTAAGCTGGTGAACTTGGGGATGAGCCACCAGCCCTGTACATCCTTTGCAGGTGAAGTGCCAGGCCCTACAGAGGTATGCTCTGCTGAGAGAGAGAGAGAGAGGGCTCCTGAGAGTCACACAAGTTCCTGTTTCGTGTGAATCAGGATGTGTTTAAAGAAATGATCAGATTCTGCAGAGTTAGGTGAACAGCCTGGTGGGGAGACTCCAGAGAACCCCTGTTCCATGTCAGGTCCACGAGTGAGGCAAGGAATGGGGTCAGAGGAAGATGTCAGAGTCGGAGAATTTCTTACAAAGAGGCATTGAAATTAAACCAATGGAACCGAGGTGGCTGCCTAAGGATCGTGTGGATGGAGATGTCTGACTGGATTTTGGAGAGGAGAATGCTATGGAAAGCCTGACAGAGGGACTGGGGAGTGTGGACATGAGGGCTCAGTGGGCCAGCTCTGCTCACAGTGCTCTGTCCTTCAGCTGTGATAGGCATTCATGACTCCTGTACCCAGCATGACTTGACTGATATCCTGACAGAACTCTGCATAGGATTCCATGCACTGTGAGCCTCTTCCCAGGAGCCTGGGCAGAGGTCCCTCCAAGGTCCAGGGTCTCAGGGAACCACCCCACAGAGAGGCAGAGGCCAGGGGCCCAGAGGGTTCTGAGAACCTCCCAGAGCAGACACAGATTCCAGCACCTGTGCCTGGCATTTATTTAATATCTGGTGAGCTTTTAACATCATGATGGAGAGCTGTGGGGTTTTTTTCTTGATGAGAAACATCAGTATCACATTTTTAGTAAAACTCTTTTTTAAAAAATTGGGGGGCGGACATTAAATCTTGATCACAAATCTCAGTTCCTTCAATTCCTTACGCATTTCAAATCAAGATTAAAAATTTCTATACTGATTCAATTAGACAATACATCCATGAGCACCATGATTACGGTTCTGTCCTTCCTTCCTTCCTCCCTCCCTTTCACCCTTCCTGCCCCCTTCCCTCTTCCCTGTGTTCTTCCCTCCCTGCCTCCCTCTTTATTCCCTCCCTGCCTCCCTCTTTATTCCCTCCCTGCCTCCCTCTTTATTCCCTCCCTGCCTCCCTCCCTCCCTCCCCCTTTCCTCCCTCCCATTAAGAAGCATTTACAGGGCACTATGGTGAGTACTGTCCATGGTGCTGAAAATCAAGAAAAGACTAATTTCTGCTTTCATAAAACGCACATTGTAGTGGGAGAAGAGAGAAAGTAAGCACAGATATGAATTACATCATGACATGTCAGGTGTGGTTATAGTCAAATTTTAGCTGGCACTTCTGTGTCCAAACATCAACTTCATGGCCTCTAACTGCCCTGTGGACAAGGACTGCTTTGATCACCCCGTTGATCCCCATGGAGGACAAGGAGGAACGGACATGTGGGAGAGACCCCTCAAGGACATGCAACAGGAAAAGGGTAAGGCCAGGTTTCCCCCCAGACCTTTCCCTGAGTCATTCTTCAGTGTCCCTTTAAACTTTGCAGGAACTGAATGCTAGAACACCTCTGTCCCTTCCTTACTTTTGAAGGTTCTGTGGGTTTAGGCTCTGCCTGTGCTGCTGTTGCC